TTTTCTTGGTCAATTTATTAGATATCTCTGTCACCTTCTAACTCTATCGTGATTCACTAACCCTAACTTAACTGAATTTAAAGATTTTTTTACTGCTTAGCAAACCCTACTACATGTCTATACCTTCTTAATCACCACCAAACATTGTATCTTATAGGCATATCTTACCACATATAAATATTTCACTTATTAAAACAAAAGTTTTATTGGCTATCACTATAATTTATTTCCTTTTTACCATCGACCATGACAAATACTGACAAGTATAGTTTTTTTTCCTGTATAAAAACTCTTCAACAATGTGTTTTTCATGCAATCTATTTTAATAAATTTAACTATCTAATTTAATTAATCACCTGTTATGCATATTTATGCATATTTTAATAATGTACTCCAACTCATATCAAAAAAAAAAAATTAACTAAGCCTCTTTAATTATTCAGTTAAATACTTGCACATATTTCCAAATATAAATTTTACACATTTATCACTACCACATCTACTCTCTAACTCAATTAATTATAAATAATAAATTTTACAACTAAAACTGAAAACCATGCTGCTTTTTACAAATATGAATATGCCAACTTTAATTTCTCTTGCAAGTTTTTATAAGTTCTCTTCAAGTCTAACCAACGAATACTAAAAAAATCATCTTAATTACAAATTGCATACTAAAAAAAACCAATAAAATTCAATAAACTGAACAAAACATTCACACACCTTTTATGGCCAGATTCGTACTATTTTATCTCAATATTTTTGATGAATTAATCAATTATACAAATTTAGTTGTTAACAACGTAAAAAGCCCAAAACAAATAAATAAAACATTCACACACCTTTTATTAACTAGATTCATATCACTTTATCTTGATATTTTTAAGAACTAATCAATTATACAAATTTAGTTCTCAACAATGTAAAAAATCCAAAACACAAAATTTTAATAAAAATACAAGCTTAACCAAAATTATAAAAAAAAAATCACCATACATTAGATATAAACAATTGTTTGAATAATATCACTATTTATTAAATACAAAAAAAAAAGCAAGAAACTTACAAGATTGTGAATTTCTTACACTATATATTCAAGTTTAAACTTGAACACACATCCATCAATTCAATTTATCCAATTCTCTTAAATTAAGATTCCTAAATTATCATTATTTTTGCAGATAACTCGCAGGAATCTAATCTCGAATTTTAATCTAGCTTTAGACTAATTTCTAAATAACACCCATGCCAACAATACAAATATATATCACTATATTCATCATTACATACTTTTTCAAATTATCACTATATATTGCTTTACTTATTTTTTTTGTCAAACTTCATTTTGTATTTTAATTTGCACTAATATTACTTATTTCGCCAAATTATACAAACCTTCGCAAACGAACCTTAGATAGAACTTTTATAAATTTTGATCTTTTATATCTACCAAAATACAATCTTTATCAATTTACTTATTGATCATAAATAGATAATGAAACTTTAATCTCTTAAAAATATCATGCCATTTTCAATATTCAGTATAAAATAAATAAATAAATAACCAATAATTAACTTTAAAAAAAAAAAACAAAAAAATAAACCTCTCGATATTTATTCTGATCTTTAAGATTGCCTTTGCCAATATCCAAATAATCAATTATCATCTAATTTAAGTCGATAAGAAGCGTAAAAAGAAAACCTATTAAAATTTACAACCCAAAAACAATAATTCAAAACTTGCTTATAATTATTAAATACAAAAACCTGTTCCAAAAAATCATACCACTTTAAGAAAAATAAAAAAATATATAAAATAAATAAATATATAAATCAATCGCATTTTTTTTTAAAAAAATAATTCTTTATTTTACAAGAAAAAAAAAATGACTTCGATCTTCATAGCCTTATACTTTGTTAAAACTATCTCAGGAAATAACAAATATGTTCACGGAAATGCTCTTTACAAAACCAACAATACTGATACTGAATTTAGAAAATTAATCTACAAAGATTTTATAACTGCTCAGGATTCTTTAATAACAGAATTAGAGAAAAATTCAATAGTCTTAATAATCAGATATTATATACTCGAAGACACAGAATACATAAACATAAGCTACCATAAATATAATAAACAATTAATTGGTTCTTATAATCTGACCAAACAAATTTTAACCTTTTATATAAAATTTTTATACTTTAATAACTGAGTTAACTACTGATAAATACAATCGTTTCTCTATCTTGTCATCTTCCATACAATCATACTATATGTAATTATACATGTTTATCTAAGCAAAACTTTTCTAAACAAATTTTTACCAAAATTTACTATCTGCCTAGCCATTTAACTATATAAAAAATGATATAGTTATCTATAAAATTAAAAAAAAAACTAACTTGCAATACAATATCTACTTAAAATATTTCATGTTACAAGAACTAATAAATTAAACCTGCATCACCTTAACTTTAAACTTTTTTTTTAATTTTTTATTTTATTTCACCTTTCAAAAAAATTTAGCTTATCTTAATGTAAACTATACCAATCTCTAACTCTGACAAAATCGAACTTACCCCAAGTGACCTCTTCCATGCATCACCACTATTATTATATTCTGCTCCTGTCATCTCAGATTCCAACTTTTCAAACAATGACCTCGGTATAGAAAGTCTCATGCTCTCTAAGAAACTTTACAATGGCATCACTAGAAACAAAAATATAAAGTTAGAAGTAATCATTTTTTATTCTAATCAAAATGGTCATTACAATACGCTGAAAAACAATCTGAAAAAAACTGTTCTTTCTGTAATTAGAAGATTGAAAGTTGGTACTAAAAAATGCTTCATATCATAGCTTTTAATATCAAATAGAACTATGCTAGCAACGAACAATCCCCTGAGACTTCAAATAAAGAAAAAGGAAAAGCTCAAAATAATATCAATAATTACCTTGATACCATTAAAGAAAAATACGCTAAACTAAGCTCTTCTCCTTCAAGAAAGAGACAACAATCAAATTTATTAACTACCTCTTTTTTTTCTAAAGCCCAAAAAGCTTCTCCTGAAATCGAATCTAATTTCTTAAATACCATATCTTAAATTAAAAATACTGATCCAGTATCACAAAACAATACCACTACTAGTGTTTCTCAAAATCAAATCAAATCAAATATTAGGCTTATTTGAATTTGATTTGATTTGAAAATCTGAATTTGAATTTAATTTGATTATTTGATTTTAAATCTTTAAATCAAATTAAAGTTTTGACCAATTATAAAAATCTTCAATTTTCTTAAAATTTTATTAAGTAAATCCTTTTATATATTAAATAAAAAATGTTTTTCTAATCAAAATAGCCCTAGTTTCATAGAACCAAATTAGCGATTGTCTTAATAAAATTTTAAGAAAATAGTCTCTGAAACTATAACTCTTTAAATTTTAGCCATTTATAAAAATCTTCAATTTTCTTAAAATTTTATTAAGTAAATCGATTTGTATATTAAATAAAAAATGTTCTTCTAATCAAAATAACCCTAGTTTCATAGAACCAAATTAGCGATTGTCTTAATAAA